GTTCCTGTCACCTTTTCGCCATTGTACGGTAATTGCAGATGCAAGGGTTTTCTACTTCCTGTAATTATTTCTGCTTTCCTTGGAGTTTGTATCAAATATTTGTCTAGGAAACGGCCTGTATAGCTGTTCTCTCCAAGAACAATTTTTATTTGATTCATTCCTTTGATTATGGTATCCCATAAGTAGATTTGCGGTGCACATTGCTCTAAACATTGCGTCAAGTTTTCTTTTCATTTAATTAATGCAAAACTATTGAAATTTGTGTATTATCCTGTCAAAGTTGGTTTCCTGTAGACATTCCGGTGGGTAAAATCCGTCTGGGTTCCTGCGGATAAAGACATCTACAGATGAAATGCATTCGTTTGTTTCGTTTTCGATAGTAACGCTGATGGATCGGCGAATAATCTCTAATGATGCCAGTATTCCGACCAAGTCAACATTTCCATTTCCATTAGAANCCATTAGAAACGAGAATATATCATCAGTGTATATGCAGTACATTCTTAAGCGACAGTATAAATCCTTCCTTAGTTATTCCCAGTTCGAGATGGGAAGGTGGTCACTTTTCACCCCAAATCGTCACATTTACAAAGGTATTAATTTATTATGAAACCATGGGAGTCTGTTCCAGTTATAGTACACAGTTACTGGGTCATTTATCTCTTTTGATTGCAGATAAAGTGAATAATGATTTTGGGCTGTTGTATGTTCCCTCCATCCAGCACCTCAAACAGTGTTAAATTCTGATTTGCTTCTAGGGCAGTTACTCTTGAAGGTGCGTTACCTAGTAAGATATTTTGTTTGCAGCCAAATTTTTCAACGTATTTTTACCATTTCTGGACGGATGAATAAAGTATAATGAAGTAATTTATTGGCCAAACGCCTTATGACTACCGAATTAAAAACACCACTGACTGAAGGAATAATTGTTGATGAAAGATCCAATTTAGTTATGAACGTTTCTGTATAGCTTAGGTATTGGCTGAGCTAAATTTGGATTGCATTCTGTAGCCTCAGGTTGTAGCATTCCGTTGGAGAATTGGGTGTAACCCAACTCCCTTCTAATTCTAAACGGGGATGAAACATAGAATGTAAGTATGTCAATAATCAACTGGGCGCATCTCTTCTGACGAATTATCCTCCAATTGGTCATTATTAATCATACGCAATTCTCGTTTGGGGTTTGTTGAAATCGAGTTCATTTGTGGCGTTATTTTGACACTCGTTTATCCGCAAAAGATCGAATGCATTATACAGTAGTTTATCTAGTTTCATTGTTTAATGTAGAGGAGTGACGTTTATGTGTAGAAGTTAAAGGTTGTTGATATTCAGATGCTACTCTGTCGACAAGTCTGACAAGAGAACCGTAAAAGCAATCACCAAGTTAGTTCAAAATTATGAGACTGCAAAAATGGAGTACAAAAACTGAACATCTAGCTGTTTTCATGACGATACAAGGAAGATTTCCTGGTCTTTCATTGTTTCATTTTTCCATCACACACAAATTGATTTACAGCAAAAGAGTTAAATTCCATAGCCAGTGACATACTGTAAGGAGGAAGGTATGTGAGGAACATTCAAGTGAGAATCAATTTGTTAATTCTGCTTTAGAAAAGAGTCAGGTTATAAGCGCTTGAAAACACAGAGATACAAATAGTGTTCCACAATTTCGCGGTCCTGGGATAAAGACGACTGGAAGATAGAGGTTCGGCATAGGTGGACAGAAACCTGATTAGGCGACTTCCCGCCTGATAACGGGTTGGACTAGAAAAGTTCAGGAGCAAGGATATGCTGAATCGAGTTCAGGAGAGGAGAAAAAAATAGTAACGATGGGAAAAGAGATAGAGTAACAACTGTCCGGCGATGGGAAAGCGACTGTAGATTGGAAGTTAGAGATGGTTCGTCGATCGGCCGGATGGAATTACGCTGAACACAACTGAGGAGAAAAAGACTGAAATACGAAGTTCCGCCCCATAAGTGACTGTAGTATTCGAGCATAGGGCGGACTTCAGCTTTGTAATACAGGAAATGTGGTTGGGAGTAAAAAGGGCTTTGAATGGGGATAGAAAACCGACTTTGACCGCAGCGCGAGAGGCAAGTATGAAAATAAAAAGGGAACAACAGAGAGAAGAATTTATGAATGAGCCCAGGAGGTGCAGAGAATTTGTGAAACGAAGGGGCAGCGAGTAAAAAATCAGTTGAGGAGAATAAGGGACATAGTTAAGAGCGACTGAGAGGAGAGAAGTCTTAAAAGCACTGAAACGCACATGGTTGATAGAACCCCATGCGGAGATACGTCCAAGACCGGAGGCAAGAAAAGCACCAATGACGCTGCGGTCGTGATTGATATTGGTAGTGGCCTGATGGGTTTGTGGGGTAAGAAAGAGAATAACGGATAGTGGAATCATCTTCAAAGTGGTGAAGGGGATTAGAGGTTTTGGACAAAAGACCGTTGATAAACAGGAGGAAGAGGATGGGTAAAAGTATGAAACTTTGGGGAACACCGGCATTAACAGAGACTGGCTGAGATAGGATCCCATCGACTCGGACGGAAGTGATTCGCTTGCTGAGAAAACTTTGGAGCTAAGACATGAGAGATAAATGGAATCCGAACGTGGGTAATTTCGACAGTGAACTTTCATGCCAAACTCGGTGGAAGGCCTTTGAAATGTCGAGCGAGAGCATGTAAGTTTCTCCGTGGTTATCGATTTCAGATGAACAGGAATGCGATGCGAGCGCCAGTAGATTACCGGTAGATTAACTAGTGAAAAATCCATATTGATGACCATTCAACAAAACTTCGCGTTCGAGGAACGTATACAGCTGCTCGGAGATAATAGTTTCAAACGCTTTCGAAATTACAGAAGAGAGAGTGATGTACAATCGTTTTTGTGGTCTGAAGGGTCAGAGATGCGCGTGAGGCGATCACCTAGTTGACTCAGGATTTTGACCACAGCAAAAGCCTCGGCTTCGCCTCCTGTGAAAGACATGTCTGAAGCATGTTCTAGCCATTCCTTGTTGCGGTAATTTGGCTGTTAGGATATGCCAACATAAGTGTCACAAGATGCAATGTCAAAAATAAAATGATCGCCGCTACTGGAGGAGCGGTAAACGGTGCAAAAATAATGTTTGACAGAAGGGAACCAAAGTTTCAGCAACATAAGCTGAAATGTACAATTTTTAACTGGAATCTAAGCATATATCAGCTTGCAAAATACAAATACAGATTCATATTATGAAAAGTCTAGGTTTGAAATTTGGTAAGAAGCGATAGAATCATCGCTATAGGCGCAGACACCAGCTTGAA